ATTTACCTGCATGAACAGAGCTTGTGATAACATTGTGCTGGATGTGTACCCAAGAGGGAGTGAGCATTCACTGGGGAGACCCATTCCTGGGCAGGCTGGGAGCAATAAAGTCACTGCAGTGTATGAGGTATCTGCAGCATGTACCTCCAGTAACCTGCCCAATACCAACACTTGCTCCTCTCAGTCTGCATCCCAAAGGCTTAAAGATGAGCATGAGGTTAGTTGGATTGTTCTGGCGCATCGCATACCTGATGACAGTGTTTTACTTATTTCAATGAGTTTCTTTACACTGACATTTTCCCATTTTGGAATCATCTGTAAACTGGTTTTCAGAGGGCTTTATCTTCGGGGAAAGATTACAGATAAACATGAACAGGCTTTTAATTACAAGATACTGATTGTTGGTTTACACAGCAATATTTATTCAGTAAATTGCTAATTAATGCAAAGAAAGCACCATGTGACTTCAAATATTTGCTTCCATTTAGACTACAAAAGTAGTTTTTCACAATGATGACAAGAAATGAGGTATGTGAGGACAGTCATTAAATCTTTCAGGTTGGAGAAGGCTCTTTAAGATAGAGTCCAACCGTTAACTCAGCACTGCCAAGTTCCCTGCTAACCCATGTTCCAAGTGCTGCATGTACCTGTCTTTTAAACACCCCCAGGGATGGTGATTCCAACACTTCCCTGGGCAGCCTGTTCCAGTGCTTGATGACTCTTTGGGTGAAGAGATATTCCCTACTCTCCAAGTTTTTCTGCTTTCCTTTAGTTTTCTTGAGATGCTTCTGTGGGGAAAAATGGGATAATCCTGGTGGCATCACGGCAGCAATAACCTGTCTTCTGTGTGTGCAGGCAACTGCTGCCTCTGTTTTGAGAGAACAGAATTAACAGATCGGATTCCACAAGTGCTTTTTAAAGCTCCAAGTAACCCATTGTCACCTTTGTCCCAAATAGCAGCACATGGCTGTGGCAGACCCGATTTCCATGCAGGCTGCCACCAGTTAGCTAAAAAGCACTGGTAAATAATCAGAAGTAAGAAAACTTCCTAATGACTATAGAGATGTGTTTGCCTGTGAGGACAGACAACAAAGTGGTCCCAGAGTGTGTGAGAAGTTTATGGTAAGGATAGCCACAGCAAGAAGTTATAAGAGGTTTATGTGGCTTTGCTTAGTTGACCTGCAGCTGCCCTGTTGGTACAGAGTAATTTATAGACATGCTGAAAAAGCTGGATTTATGCCCTGATCATAGGAGAGAAATGCTAGTACATAAAATTGGTTGTACCTTTTGTAGGTTATACCTAAATCTTTAATTTTTATAGCAGCTAAGAGAAAAATAAGCTTGCATACGGTACACGTGGCATAAACTGACTGTAAATCCTTGCCCTGCAGAGAGGAGCCTGTTGATCCTGTCCAGGCTGTTTGCAAACGTGCTATAGCTGACGGCTCTCAGTGTGGCAGAGCTGCAGTCACTGGGTTTCTCCCCATTCCCTTGACAAAACTGGAAATACTGGGGTTGGTTGTGCAAATACGGGAAACAAACCTCTGGCTTGGGATCAACCCATTAATGTCGTATTCGGCTGAGCAGGAACCTTTGGGTCTCTGAGGATTTACAGAGTGCTTTTGTCTCATCCTTTTGTAGGAGAAACTGTAAATGAAAATAGCCATTTCCAAAGAAAGTCCCATTTAATTCTCAAGATGAATTTAACTTTTTCAGTGCCTTAGCTTCTTAAGGCAGAAGTCATTCACTGAGTTCAGGTCCTCCTGACCAGCATCGATCCCTCTGATTCATCAGTAAATTCCTTGTTTGTTGAAGAAATTAATGAAATTGATTCTCTGAAAATCAAGTAAATTTCCAGGCCATCTGGCTGGCTCCTCATCCTCATGGCATCTTGAGCCTGGCAGCACAATATGATCTCACTGCTCTTTCAAGAGGCTTCAGAATTGGGGATGGGGCAGTAGTGACTTGTACAGATTGCGTCAGACCTTAAGCACTTCCAAACCCCCCAAAGAGTAAAAATAACTCTTCAAGGTCCCCAAAGAGCTGATGAATGAATGTGAGGAATTGGATGAGGAATGGGAAAGATGGGAATTAATTCAAAATATGGCAAATGTGTCAAAGAGATTTGGGTTCTTTTCTCTTTCCTGCAATTTCTCCTATTTCCCAGCTATTGCAAGGAGCTGCTGCCAGGCTAAATTACCTCCAAGACATGTGGTAGATGTGGCTCTTAGTGCTCTCAGAGTGGTGCTGCAATGGAGCCACCTCCCTGTGCGGGGTGTGAACCAGACCAGCGCTGAGCCCTTGGCTTCAGGAAAGCACTTTCCAAGGAAATTTGAGAAACACTTGGAATGCCTCTGTCTATTAAAGAATGACATTTAGTGTTGTACTTTGAAATATGTTTAAAGTACCACACAGCATAAAGACCCTAAGGGGACCCATGAGCCAAATGAGATTTCCATGTCAGCACCAGTCACGACCTTTCCTTTACTGCATCTGCTTAAATACAGAAAACATGGTTTTGTTATAAAGTCAAGTCAAAACAGGGATTCAGAGTAAAATATAATATATACTTAGGGCTGCCCTCGGGGACCTTTTTAATGGTTTCATATAAAACAATATTCTGTTTACTGTTAGATATTTCTCTGCTGAGTGCACCCTGCCCTCTCCTCGATGCTCTGAGGTTCCCGAGGTCTCTGGCAGCCCCTCCACCCCTGCAGTGGGCTCAATGTGCAGGAAGCCACCTTGGCCGCATCTGGTGGCAGCCCTGGGTCTGTGCCTCTTGTCTTTAAATTTCTATCAGTCACGGGGTGAGCAGGACGTGCCATGGTGGAAGGATGGTAGCTTGCTACCAGCAGGTTGTGATGGCCTCCATGCAATTCCCACCCTGGCAGAAGCATGGGAATGGGTGTGATTCCAGCCCTGGCTCATGGAAAACGTCTGCAAACCTAATGTGGGAAGCTGCCTGATGCACAAGCTGCTGCCCTGAGGGTCCTGCAGGTGGTTTCCTGATGTTTTAGGAGCAAAGAGGCTTAGCAGCAGCCTCAGGTGTGATGCAACCTCTGCCCTCGGGTCTCTTCCCTGCCTAAGGGGAGGATTTGCCACCCCCCTGCACCTGCAGCAATTTCCTCTGCTCAGATCCAGCTTGCTCCCCAGGGTTAATACAGGGAAAAACATTTTTGGGAGAAAGGCAGGTTTTCTGGAGCTGAAGTTTAGTTTAGTCACTGTGGGAGAGGTAAGGCCCTGCCTTTTACAAACTAAGGCAAACAAAGTGCTAGCAGTAAAATGCTTGAGCTTGGTATCCATAAAATTACTTAGTAAGCACTTTGCCTCAGGCATGAAAGACTGGCACAAAGTCTGTTCCAGGCCATTGAATTCCTGTCAAAAGAAATCCCACACCCATTAATTACCATATGACAGGTACAGGGCTTAAAACCAGAAGCACCAGGGCGCTGAGGCTCCTCTGTGACTAACGCCACTGTGGCTGTCGCATCCTGGGTACCACGGGATGGAGGCAAACCCTCCTGTGCAGCATTCCCTGCCAGCCTGTGTGGGAATCTTGACAGAACTTGTGCTGTTGGGAGGTGAGACCCCAGAGCGTGGAGGCTTTGGTCAGTGAAGGCTGTCTAATGGCTCTAGGCCCCTGCATAGCAGCAGAGCTGCGTCTTTGCCTCCCGAACACCTGCATCCTCCTCCTGGATTGTGTATCTGAGCAGCAGCGCTGAACCCATCCTTAGCTGTCCATGTGTGAAGCTTGCTTGTGAGCATGGTAGCGGAAGTCTTTTGTATTTCTAGTGCTGGCAAGTCAACACAAGGTATAGAAAGAAAAGCCGTGTGTTAAAAGACAGGCAAACTAGATTTTCTGATGTTGCAGGGGTTGCTGCTGCCTACCCCAGCATTAGGTATTCCAGCAGCTCCTGGGCACTTGGAAATATCTGTGATGCTTCCCAATTAAAAAACACTTTAGTGGAATGACTCTTTGTCAAAAAGTATGTACCTGCTATGCATTATTCAGCATTATCTCGTTTAAAAACAGACATGCAGCTAGGGAGAAGTGACACTGTGTCAGAGGAGAGCACAGGAGATGGCTGCGCATCATGCATAATGAAGGGTGAGCCCCTCCATGGGTGCAGCTGCAAGGCAGCAGATACCCTCTTCAGAGGCAGCACAGCTCATGGTCTTCAGCAGGGAAGCCTTAATTCAGACTTTTAAACTCAACCACTTCTGTAAGAATCATCTGTCCCTGGACTTGACACCTCTTGCTGGTCTTTGCTGATGGGCTGAGGGTGGCTCTGCCCTGCCCGGAGCCTGGGTTGCTCCTGTTGAGTGCAGGGGTGCCAGCTCCTTCAGGTCCAGTCCCCTCTCAGGAACTGCCTGGAAAATCAGGGGCTGCTGCCCCATGGGGTTTTACAAAGATGCTAATACTGAAAATTGCCATAGATGTGCTGCTTCTGTTGTTGATGCTGCAGTGACTGAGTCTTGCCAATCTCTGTAATACACGGATCAACTGATCTTTCCATGAAGATGCGTGCCTGCTCTAAAAACCAGCTAGTTAGAGGTGGGTATGTTGTGAAATGCATTGGAGTTTAGTAAATGATGCATTTAGCTACATGAAGTTTATAAATCATGAATGATTTATTCATTTATAAATAGTCCAAACTCCATGTACATATTCTTCTGGTTGTTTAGCTCCTTGTAATTTATTGGTTCATTATTATTTCATATGGAAGTTATGTCATCCAAGAAGTAAGAAAAATATTTGCTCCATGTGCTTTGTTCACACTCCTTAAAGAGCAGAGGAAGCAGAGATTTGAGGTGCATCCTCCCCTGCCTCTGCCCAGGCTGACAGAGCTGACTTTAGCTGAGATGGAGCCAGAGGCACTCATCCTCCTTAGGGGTGAAATTCACCCTTTGGAGCTGGGTGGGAGAACGGGAATTCTTTGCGAGAGGATTTATTCTTATGCTTCCTTTTCCTAATAAACCTCGGCTTTATGTCCACTTAGAAATAGTCAGGAGCACCCAGAACCATCTCAGCACAACGTAGGTGGTAAAAGCACCATGAAAAGTGCTCTCGATAGGAAGGGTGGAAGGGATAAGGCAGAAGTTGGACCTTGTGCCCCCTGGACCAGGCTGTGCTGCTGGGAGGGGACTGTGCTGCTGTTGCTGTTGCAGCCAAGTGGAGGGGAACTGACACTGGCAATTCTTTCATGTACTGTTAGTGAACAGCCATCAGAAGACATTGACACTAACTGTGGGCCTTTTAAGAGTGTAATGTATTAGCAACTTGTCTCCTTGAAAGCTAATGACAAATGCCTTGTTTAAAAGGAAGATCAAAACATCAAGAAAAATTAGATTAAATGGTTATGAAACTCCCAGTGGAGGACGCATTTCTCAGAAGTATTCCCTGTTGAACCTTGGAAATCTGTAATTATTTCCCCTGCTTACTGCATTAGGGCTGGGGAAGTGTTTGCATTGCTTCAGTATGTAGCTGCAACCGTGCTCTGTATGGCACAGCAAGCCTTGCTTGAATGGTACCTTGGTGATGGTGGGGTCTTGGTTGTTTGTAGAAGCCAAGAGCAGTGCCCATGGTGGGAGGGTTGGCAGAATGGAGGCCAAAGCTGCAGTGGAGGCACAGGCTGCTGCAGGACAGTGATGCACAGCCACAGAGGGGCATGGTCCCTGCTACATCTCAGCTGCTCCTATGGGAGCAAAACCCTAAGTCTCTTGAGTAGCCCATCCATGAAAACTGTTTTATGTCCAACTCTGTGTGAAGGGACCTTTGAGCAGCACTGGTGCTGCTCCATCAGCAGAAGTTGCTGTGGCTGCTGCTGAGCAGAGACTGCATTGCCCTGTAGCATTGGGTAAGGGGTTTTCAATAAGTAGCGAGAGAGCAAGGGCCTGTTTGGACCGGGTTTGTGGGATTTGCAGAGGTTTAGGTTGCTCCTCACTGGAGTTGCCTGGGTTTCTGCTCACTGTGGTGCAGCACTTGAATCCACAGTAATGTCTGTGGATATAAACGTGGTCAGGGCTGCAAAAGCCTCTATCTCAAAATAGAGCCCAATCAAAGCTTGTCAGATTCTCCCCTTTGCTGGAGCAATGGCAGTTAAAATGGAACATTCCAGACCTCAGCCAAAGAAGAAAATGTACATCTTTTTAATGAATTTCACTACTAATGTGCAGACACTGGATCTCATTTCTTGTAGCATGCAGTAGAGTCCCCAGCCAAACCTCAGAGGACTGCCCTATCATCTTTCCCAGGTACAAATTGGTTTAATAGCAAAGAAAATGTCACAACTTTCCTTCTATTCTTTGTTAAATATCCAGTTTTGTAGTTGTCTGCTGTAAGTAACTGCTGTGGCTGTGTAGTTTGATGCTGAGGTTTTGCACAGAAGTTTGGTGGTGTAACATGATGGCAAAGTCCTTTCCATTGTAGAGGACAGTGGGATGAGGGATGAATCTGTCCTGCTGAGCACTATCAGTCCGCTCTGGGCAAAGGATGGAGATCCACACTAGCTCTGTTATGTTTATAATCAAAGGCAGCTGAATTAGGCTCTTTCTCTCCTATTTCTATGTACCAGTTTGAAGGGCTCAGATGAAAAGTGTTGCATTACACCAGCACCAATAAGTCACACTATCTATGTTGTGACACACAGAATGTTATTAATTGTCAATCACAAACCACCAGGCTTGTCAAGATGTTCTCTTCTGAACAGGCTGCTTTAGACCTGAAGTGATTTTTAATCAAATGTTAATAACACAGCATCTGTCAGTGGACCATTGGCATCATACAATAATAAAAAGTTAACATATGACATGGCAAATTCTAATGTTTTCATTTTTACTTCTTTCCAATTATCTGTGGAATTTCTGCCAGAATGAGAAGTGTGCTGACATTATTACATGCAAAACACACTGCTGAAAGATGAACATGTCTATTAAAGTCTGCGTTCCCCATCACGTGAGCTCCCAAAAGCACCTTTTAATCTCCGCTCTCGAGGCCTTGCTGCCAGAGTTATCCTGTGCCCAGGAATCACCAGTTGCTGCTCCTCTGGTCCTTGCCTTGCCAGAGCCATGGAGAGGACTCCTTACATCCTTTCCCCTGTCTGCTTTGCCACCTCTGAACATGATCAGCCTTCACTGGTCATAAAGCCAGAGATCTTGGCTATGGGAGCATCCTGGCAAGCCCACAGGGAGCAGGGAAGAGCCTTCTCTATCTCTTTGCTGTGGCTAGGGATGCTCTGAGATGTCATGGCAGCACCTCTGCCTCCCCTTGCCATGCTCCCCACCCATGTACACCCCAGTCCACGGGGTGGGTATTTGGGCAGGACTGTTGGGGGGGGGGCATGGGCAGCCTCCCCCTGCCCTCAGACACAGAACGAGATGGGGCAGGAATGTCTGTGTTCTAGTGCCTGTGCTCACTTCTTACAGGGTGTTATTAGCACTAATAACCCTCAGTAGCGTGTTAATGCAGCTCGAGAAGGGCTGTACTTCTATCAAATATCTATAAGACATTGTGGCTTATAGTGTTCTGGCTGTGCTTGTTAGTGTGCTCCCTCTGGGATGGAGGATGGAGGCACAAAGTGTCTGGCATTTGGGAAAGTTTGGCTGCAGGAAAGCAAGGGAGGAAAAAGCTACTCCAGAGAGCTGAGATGCAGGTAGAGAAAGGAGATCACAGAATCATAAAATGATGCTGGAGTGCAGGGCTGAGAGCGCACACAGAGCCACGGACCTGTATGGGGATGGTGACAGTGTGTGTCCCCAGGGCTGGGCTGGCCCTCATGGTCCTTGCCTGCAGCAGCATCCTTCTGGGGTGTGTGGAGTTGCAAAAGCTTTGAAACCCTAACGAGAGAGCTCGGTACAGTGGGGAGTGTGATTATTATTAATGGTTTGTGTTACAGGATAAGCGGTGCATAACAGATCTGCTGCAATATCAAGTCTTCCATCAGAAATTCATCATTTTGAGGACTTTGTCAAAAGTAGGCTGTGTATGCAGTGTATACAAATCTGTATGAACATAATGCTATATGGAAGTTCCAAGCACCTGTATATTTAAAATATACTCAATTTCCTTTTCTAAATGCATTGTTTTCACTTGAATACTTCATAACATTCAATGGATTGCAGTTGCTTCGTCTATAGATTCAATTTGTGTCTCTGGACAGAGTTTGAATGGATTTATTATATTGAAATGCAATTTTGCAGACATAACCTTATATCTGACCCGTCATTACTTATAATGCTAAACTTTGATATGTTAATTCTGCCTTATGTTTTTATATATTTTACGACACTTGGCTTAAACATTTTTAATCTACATATTGGTTTATGTCCACCTAAATTATTGTTGCTTCCGGGGACAATGTGCACACAAGATCTGGCAATTCATTACGCTAGCCCCGCTTAAATGAATTTCAAAAATTTAATAAAGTTCTCCCCCTCCTTCCATTGTGTTCAAAAGCTTCAGCATAAACACCAGTCCAGTGTTATCAAATCACAGAAGAAGAATAAGGTTAACCTCAAACAGCCCAGCCATACCGCAGACCTAGAGGAACGTCGCCTTTGATTAACGCTCCCCTCTAAAGCGCCACGTGCCTTGCTGCCGCTGCCGCTGCTCCTGCTCGCAGGGGTATTGATTTCCTCCAAACCATCCCTTCTGCCAGCATCTTCCCTCCACTGGTTCATCCCCAGGGTGTCGGTGCTGGGCTGATGCTGAGGGCTGAGTCAGCCCAGGGGGGATGCCGGGATGCACCGATCCCCCTGTGAGGGTTATCCCTATGGTGGCACTGCCGGTAATGATCCTATGCCATGACTCGGTCCAAGAGTGGAGGGAGGATGCTGCTGCCTTTGCTGCCTGCAGACTGTTGCTGATGGAGGCAACCCCTTGCCTACCTCCAGCTCTGAATATTCAGCAGTTTTGAAAGAGGAGCCAGGGAGCACCTGTGAGAGCTGGATGTGGGAGAGCATCTGATCATGGGCTCAGCCTTAGGATGTCCCACAGCCTATGGAAAGGCCATCTCCTGTCCCGCTGCTGTGCCCAGTCGCATCCCTCCATCCTTTGGCCTTTTCCCTGCAACAATGTCATGAATTTTTCATCCTTGATGAACTTCAAAGTCTTTTAATGACTCTTCATGAAAAAACAGAGGGGCCAAAAGTTGAGCAAAGGGAGATGATTAAAGGACCTTATTAAAAGCAACCTTGTAGAATTCTCCACATGAAAGAGAGCGCCATTATGAGGGCTTATCCTTATAAATGACACTTCGCTTTTGCGAACATGCCGAAACCTGATTAGAGTGACAAGCACTGAGTGATACTGCAAACCTGTTAATAACATGAAAATTAGAAGAGGCTCATGCAAAGAAGGGAGATTAATTTAGCCCGAGTACATCTCGCGCAAATTGCAAAGTTGTGAATATGTTCTCAGATAATGAGCCTTCGCAGTCATCAGCTCACTTGTCATTTTCTGTAATTAATGTTAAGGAAGACTCCTTCCTGATGGTTCGTATTACTCATATACCAAGAAAATTTCTTCAGAGAAATAATTTACATTTATTATCATCGGTCTGTTTGTGTGGTTTATTTCGCTGTGGAGTAATTTATTGCAGCACCGTTTCACTTGCCTTGATTAGTCGCTCGTCAGCCTGAAATGTAATTTTTTTTTCCTGATGGCAATGTCTGAAAATTGACAGTGGTGCAATACTCTTTTTTAATCTGAGGATGTGTTTTCTTAACTTGAATAAACTTCTGGGCTGGAAACAGAAGCTGCTTCACAAGTTGAATTACTGTTAGAAACTCAAGGCACTTGGCTAATTCAGGTTCTCAGCCTGCATGCTAGACTCACCAGCGCTCTCCTGTGTGCTTGTCTGTGTGTATGCACCGTATACAAAGTAGTTTATTCCAGGAGCAAGCTAGTTATTGGTTTATTGCTTCAACAAGCCTGAAGTCATGTGTAACATGCTTATTACCCGTACTCTCAGACTTCAGTTAGCATCTGAAGCCAGCGAAAGCAGTATCAGATCTTATTGTTGTTTTCCTTGGATTTCAGCTCTTATGTTTTATTTGGTTTATTACCAGTATCTTAGTTTTTCTTATCTTTAAAGAAACAGTTTAGTTTTCTGACAGATGCAGCAGTTCTTGTTCTTGGTGCCTTCGCAGTGCAGATGCTTCTGTCAGAGCCCCTGTTCCTTATAAACCTAGGACTGGCTGAGCACACATGATGCTGAGCAGCAAGCACACCTCTTCCAGAAGCTTCCTGCCACTGCTGGGACACTCGGGGAGCTGGAGGAGCTCTGCTGCCATCTCGGGTGCCAGAGGATGTCCCTTCATTGATGCTGCATCCGCTGCCATTCTTGTCACAGGCTGCCCATGTTTCCCATGGAAG